AAGACGGGAGCCAGCCAGAAAGACGGGAGCCAGCCAGAAACACAAGAGTCAGACAACACGTGGAGAGGATGAGTTTCCAAGCCCTCGAAGCCAAATTTGATTTGTTCGCTTAAAAAGGAATTAAAAAAAAAAAAAAAAAGAAGAAATTAAAAACTCCTCAACCAAACAAGCAGCCCTCGGGCACCCAGTGGGCGTGAAGGGAGCCTGGGTGTGCTGCAGCCTGGGGAGGCCTGAGAGCTGCCTTCCTTCAGCAGATAGGAAATGTGGAGGATGCCAAAAGCACCAGCAGGTTCTGGTTGTTAGAAATCCCCCGAGCCTTTTGAGCAGCCGGGGGGAAGATGAAAGCTAGCCAGGGTGGCAGCTCCAGCATCGTGGGGAAATGTCCTGCACCTTCCCAGGACACAGCAGCACAGAGAGGGGACACAGCACCAGCACTGAAGCGGAGAGGAGGAGACCCCCCCCACAAGCTTGCAGTCTCTAGAGGTACCTCTCCCTCCAGTTTTGTAGGACTGCAAGGCACAAGGAGGGCGTTCACCTGGCAGAGGTGGCGACTTCTTGAACCCTAAGGAAGGAGAGACCTGCAGGTCTGCTGCAAACCAAGGCAGGGCATTTATTGATCAACAGGTGGGAAATTGTGGTCCTAATCACAAGCAGCCTGGTATTGATAGAGCTGAGTTAATAATGCTTAAGGGGAGACAAGGAAAGGTCAATGTAGAAGTGAAAAATCGACTGCTGTCTCGTTAGGCCCGGGTGCCTATATTATATAAACTTGGCAGTGCACCTCAAGTAAACCAGGGAACATAAATTATGTAAATTCATCTCCCATCTTTCTACTGCACTGTTTTAAAGAGAGCAGGGTAAGACCCAGAGTACATGATAAAGGGGGGGAGACTGAAAGGAAATGCACATAAGCTTAAGGGCTATCATATGCATAGATTTTCCTGCATAGGTCATAAATTAATTTAAATATGAGGACTATTAAAATCCTCTAGCATAACCCTGGACATAAAATTTCCTCCAGATGTCCTTCTATGAAACCTTTGCCTTTATCTGAACAAGACAATACCCTCCAGAAGGACATTGAGGTTTGATTTAAAGGTAGGGCATAATAGAAAAAGCACTATATCATCAATAAGCTAATGCAAAAGTTACCTCTTCCATCCAGTATAAATATATTTTGTTTTACTTTCCAGAGTGACTGGTTGCCGAGCAGGAAACTTGGAGTGAAAAATGTCTTTTCCTCACAAGGCCTAGAAAATCTAGAAAACCATTATGAGTGAAAGACCAAAAGAGCATTCTCTTTAAAATTACCTTCTTTACATGTTGGCATATTACAGGTCAGAGACGAACCTTTTCCTGGGCATCCCACTGGGAATCTGAATCAGTGCTGACAAGGCAGGGAGCAGGGTCTTAGAGGAATTTGCTCCTGCTGCATCCTTCCTTGCCTTCCAGCTGCTCACAGAAGTCTCTCTGCTCTACTGCACCACTGGGTTTAGAAAACTTATGAAGATTTGTGCTCTTCCAGGTTGCTGCCTTTTTGAGATTGAGCAGCAAGTTAAAACAATTGCAGGGAGACACAGGGATGCTGCATGAGTCCCAGCCCTTGGGGACCAGGCCAGTCCTGACCACAGGCACAAGCCTTCTCTGCTTCTTGCAGGATGTTTCCAAAGGAAAGGGGGTCAATCCCATTTGCTGCAAGCCAGGGGTATCACAAGGAAGCCCAAAGCACGGCCCTGCATGGTTCTTACTTTTAGCAGCTCCATGCAAAGCTGCCCTGAATTTACCATTTAAACCCCTTAGCACCGTCAGTTGGAAATTTTTCATGCACCTGTTCACAAAGTCAATGTTTGCTCAGCTCTCCTGTGCCTGGCTGTCTCTGCACAGTCTCATTTGCTTTTCCTACATGGAGCAGGGTGACCAAGGTTGCTGATGCCTAAAAATAACATCTCCATTAGCTGCCATCCCTGATACCTCCTCTTTGTGGCCTGATTTCCCAATGAAACAAGGCTGCTGTGGTCATGTTGCCTCTTTGCCTCTTGACCCCATAAATCACTCTCAGATCTGCTAGCCACTTTCAGCAGTGTCTCTGGCAACAGGGTGGATGTCTGAAAGGCAGCTGAGCTGCTGCAATCTCAGCAAAACCACCTAGGTGAGAGAAAGAGAGAGATTCCATCTTGTAACCCCGCATGGAAAAGAGTTATGGCCAGACCTCTCTTAGTGAGCAGCAGAGAATCTGCCAAGGCCAGGGGAGATGCACAGCCTGACTGAAAAAGCTTTGCTCACATTCAGTGTCTTTGTAAACAGCCCATAATCCATCAGCAGGACACAGAGCCCCGGCAGTGTGGGCTCCCAGGCCGTGTGGAGATCACCAGAGTGCTGCAGCTTAAGTGATTTAATCCCTAATAACAATATTTGAACGCTTAACAATTAGAGAAGAACTTTCACGCAGCTTCCTTGTCAAGATGTGAGAGTAATCATTTCTAAGACCCCATTCTAAGCTGTAATGCTAATCAGTATTAAGATCCTTCTTTTTCAGAGCAGAGTGCCACAGTTAACCCCAGCATGCCAAGATGATTCCACTGATTGCTGGAAGCTGTTCTGGAGGCTGGACTTGCTTGGACACCTGGTAGGGAGGTCACAACACCTTGGTGCTTGTGTTTCATTTGTAGGCAAGAAACTACAGTCAGGGTGGTTGTACCTCAGCCCTGTCACCCTCAGGAGGACTGATCCAGGGGCTGCTTCTTGACAGCAAGAACCTACAGTCCCATCTCTGGATGGGTGGGAAAAATCCTGAAGCAGAGGAAGCTGAGCAAAGCTGGGAATGGGTCTGAGAGATAAAGGTACCCAGCTGGGGTACTGGGGCTGCACTGTGGGCTGGACTGTGAGTGCTGACAGTCCACCACTCTGTGCCACTCTGCCTCAGTGTCCCCAAGAGCTGGCTGTGAATCTCTGGCTTGGGACTCACACATGGTGGAAACTACCTCCTAATTTTCCTTTTGAAAGGGGATTCTCAACCCACCTTGGCCTCTTTGTTTATTCTCCTGGTAGTGGATGTTTATCAGCCATTGCCTCCCTCCCGCTGGGGTTTGTTCCCTTCCTCACTGTTGCACTCCAACCATCGGCTGCCACAAAACAGAGGGGAGAAAATGCACAAATATCTCTCCATTCAACAGATGGCTTGAAAAAAACCAAGAAAGCTTAGCCAAGACACTTGTTTTAAGGGTGCTTCAGACACAGAAATGGAACACATGGTTTCCTTTCATCACTTGTGTCAAGATTGGAGCTGGGCTAGGAGGTGTCACCCCCCTCACTGCTCCATGCCTGCCTCCTTCAAGCTATGTGGAGAATCTCTTCACTACTCTATCTTGATACTTTCCCTTTGATCTGTGTCATCTCAGGTTTATTTTCCAAGATGCAGAAAGAGCTCTGTCAAGTGGGCAGTGGCAGAGCCTCTCAGCAGAGGACATTCACCTGTCAGGCTCTTTCTCTTCCACATCAAGTTATTTCTGTTCCTTTCTCTTCCTGCACAACAGCCAAAGAGGGAACATTTTTCCCCTGGCCCAAGGGAAAATCTGCCCCTGCCAGGGGCTGGCATGACTTGGGGATCACATGCAGCTCTGCTCAAGGCTGATGGCTTCACACCCAAGTTTATTGCACTGTATGGTCCAGAGTGTGACGTGCTGGCCTAAGGCGGGTCTTCCTCTGCCACAATCTGCTTGGTGGCTTTAAAAAGCAAATATTGAGCAGAGCACAGAACTGGCCAGTGGGTACCAGGAACCTCCTGTGGTTATAAAACAAGAAAACCAAAATAGCTTTAATGCTTTTCACACTGCGTAGGCTTAAGTGGTTTTTAAAACAGGCTTGGTGTGCCCTGAATGTGGTAAATGAGTTCCTCAGAGTCCTGGAGGGCTGTCAGTGTGCAAGAGACTGGGCATGGCAGGAGGGGAAGCCTGAGACACAGCAGCTAAACGTCCCCCAGCTGCCTCAGATAAGCCATGTAACGGGGTACAAAGGTCCTTTGGGTAGGGGTGCTTTGTGTAGGGAGTAGATGAGGGCAGGAGCTGCCTTGCCAAAACTTCATTGAAGGCACTGTCAATTTTTTTTCCATCTCATGGGTCTGCCTTGAGCAGTGCTGGGGGCTCAGGCCAAGCGTGGACCACTCGACTGAGCTGTGTGGGGTCCCAGCAGTGCATAGGAGACCTCACTGGATGGGTGAGAGTGAATCCCACCCCAACAGCTTCCCCAGGATAGCTCGTCTTCTCCTTGGGACAAGCTGGGAGCCAGGGAGTTGTGCTGTCTGCTGCTTGACTGTGCCGTGAGGTGACATGTGTCACACAGATCATGTCTGATTTTTATTTCTCTTTAAAGCAAAGATCTTTTTTAGCATGCGAATAAACGCTCTCCTAAAAGAGAAGACACCATCTGCTCCCAAGCACAAATTTAATTTTCCAAAGGGATAGATTTAAATAAGATCCACAGGCACGGAGTGGTAGCTGGGGGAGCCTGTAATGGGGCTTGGCCCCTTTGGCATCTTGCTGGAAGCAGATGTCTTAGTTTATGGGGGGGGAGACATGGTGCCTGCAGCGCAACAGGGGTTCTGGCAGCTGGAGACTCCACAAACTCCCTGAGCTCCCAAGGTTAAACTGGTGCTTGCAGGTAGGCTTAGAGCATCGACAGGCAGACAAATGATCAGAATGCAGTTGTGTGGGGGCTCTGCCACGCACAGCCTGTGCCCAGTGGGGCTCCAGCTCTTTCCTCATCCTCAGGGGAGTCAGCAGGCAGGAGTCACAGCTGCAGCGAGGCGTTCTTGTGCACAGCCATTTGTTGGGTGGGCTGGAGGAAGGATGTGCACCTGGCTGGTTTTTTCCTGTGTGAGTGCTGAAAGTGCCAGCAGCTCACCAGTCACACCAGTGCTGGGCCCCAGTGCAGCCCCTGTGGAGCTCTCTCCCTGGCAGCTGAGCCTCGTGGCCCTCACGTGCTTTGCCTCTCTTGCCTTCCAGCCGCTGGTGTTGCTGATGGAGTGGCCTGAAGCCACCAACTTTGCCTGCCTCATCGCGGGCTACTGCCGTCTGCTGGTGGACTCCAAGAAGATGATCCTGTCCAGGGCCCCCAGCCAGCCACCCCCGCCTCAGATTATCAAGGCAGGTACGTTTCAGCCTCTGCTTTCTGTGCGAGCCCCTTCCCCAACCTCACCCTCCCTCTCCTCCCTCCACCCAGGGCTCTGCAGCATTAGGAAGCTGAAGGGTTTCTCTGGCATCTCCCCTCTTCTCCCACTCACCCTGAGAACGAGCAGCCTCCCTTTCAACCAGAAAGCAAGGAGCAGGGACACAAGTCCTCAGTTTGGATAAGCTCTGGCTTGCGGTGTCAGCTCAAGCCACAAACACTCGCTGTGAGTGTTGTTCTGGCAACTCCTGGAGCAGATCCAGGAGGTGCTGTTTGAGAAGACCTGTAATGCTGCCAGATGAATGCTGGATCCTCACAGAACAGCCTGTGTGCTGCCGCAGGGATGCAGCACACACTGCTTGGATGGCATCCCGGCTCCAGGGACCTGCGTGAGGGTATACATGCATTGGCCTGCATTCCTGCTGCCTTTGGATACTGCTGCCTCCATCCCGGGGGTCTGCAAGCATGGCTGCTCTGCTGATTTCCCAAATCAGGAAGGCAACTTTGGTGTCCCAGTTTTTCAGCCTGGTGCAAGGAGCAGAAGGCTGGTCTGAGCACAGCAGGAGGTTCTGTCCTGACAGGCAGCAATGCTGTTCCTTGGGAATGGATTACAGGTGTGAGTCACACTCAGGAAAGATCAGTGATTCTCAGGAGTGATTTCAAACAAGGGCCAACCATGAACTACATGCTGCTGTTCCATGCAGGTGTTCACATCAGATGTGTTTTGTATAGGGAAATACAAAATATGGGTAAAATACCAACCCAGAGCTCTATGGAGGTTGCCCCAAGACCTCCTAAGTGAAGCTGCAGCTTCAGGTGAGTTTTTAGTTTAGCTGGCAGTGTCAAAATTCCCTCCTCAAGGTGAGACTGACTTGGGGAGGTGGGAGAAGTGCAGAGAGTTAGCAGGGTCCCTGGGAGAGGACTTGGTGCCACTGGGGAAGGCACTTGGACACAGACTCAGCACATGTGGGAGGACACCCTCACAAGAGGCATCAGGAAAGCACCTGCAGCAACCTCAGTGAATCCAGGCAAAGGCCTGGCAGTTGATGATGGTGTGAGTATAAGCACAGTTTCCTTTTCCTTCTTCCCCTGTGGCTCTGGTTGAGTGTCACTGTGCTCCCTGCTCTGGGTGCCCTACAGGAACATATTTAGGCAAATTTTGCTGTGAGCAGGGGGTGTTTCCAACTTAACTGGCCATCACCAGAGTGGTTCTTCCCTGGCTTATGTCACCCTGACATGGGCTACTGGGACACATGGGGCTGTGGGGAGTCAGAGGGTGGGGAGAGCATCCCAGAACATACCCAAGGGCTTGGAAGGAGGCTGGTGGCACCCACAGGGTGCAAGTGGTGTTTTTCCGCACTCTAGCAATGATGACAATAGCCAGGATTTTTTCTTTGGGAGATTTTCCTTCATTGGTGTGGTCCAAACCTCTGCCTTTGCCCTTTTCTTGGCAATCTCAGGAAGCCAATGTCACTCTGCTGGGGGTAAGGAGGAGTCACAGTCTGGGTAGGACAGCAGTGGAGCAATGGGTCTGAGCCAGCCCCTCCCTGGATGGCCTGTTCTATCCTCAGAGGTGCAGTGAAAACCTCTGTGACCAGTGGAGTGGAGCAGTTTCCCTGCAGACCCTGCACACAGCCCAGCTGCTCAGGCATCCTTCAGAAGGAGTGAATTTAGTGAGTATTGGGAAAAGTCTGCTCACAGTTCTGGTCTCAAAGGGCTGCAGGCTGAGCTGTCAGGAGCTGGGCGGATCACAGGGAGCAGGGACTGCTGATCATTAGCACATCCTTGCAGGAGTGATAAGAAAGCCCCACTGGGATGAACTGAGTTAGCCCAGATTGACTTCCCAGGCTGCAGGCAGGCTGTGCCAGCATCTTAAATGTAAAATCAAGCCTTGGCCCATGCTTTTACCTAGAAGAGGAGCACATCCATCTTCCCTGAGGCCCATTAAAACCTCCTGCTGAACTGCAGACATTTTTAGAAATGCACAGGCTGTCCCAGTGTTGTCAGTTAGATCCATCTCTCTGCATTTCCCTGCGGAGCCATATGCCAGAGCTTTGCCCTCTGTTGTCCCTGCCCCTTCTTTCCCCCACTCCCACCAGGAGCCATTGTCAGCCAAGCAGCTCTCTGCCCTTAATTGCTCTCTCAGCTCTTTCTCAGGAACTTTTACCCCCGAGCATCCAGCAGCTGGATTATGGATTTGAGGGGTTTGGCCCCATTCAGCAACAGGCCCTGGCTTAGCCTGGGCAGCCAGTGGGGCATGGACATGACCCATTGGGGGTGTCTGGGTTTGGGAAAGCCTCTACCTTAGCCCATGCCACCCTGCCACATCCCACATGTCCCCTCATATGTTCCCCTACACAGCATTTCTGAGCACTGGCATGGCCACAAATGAAAGAGACTTTGGGTTGAGTGGGGATTTTAGCACTGCAGGTGATGAACAGTATAATACAAACGTGTGTTTGGGGAGACAAATTGTCCAATTTGTTGAGCTAATGAATTTAATTAGGATTTGTTTGATTTAATTTATCCTTGGTAAGACAGAACCTGCATCCCCTGGCAGCTGTTCTCAGCACAGCTGCACAGTTCAACCTGCAATGCAGACAGATGCCTCTCCTGAGGGCTGGACTACTGGCCAAGCAGTATTTCAGCCACTTGCCTTGCCCAAGGGAGCAAGGGCAGGCTGTCACAGGTAGATGCTTCACAGCAAGAGCAGCAGGCTCTTTCAGAGCCAGCCTGATCCAATAGCCACCAGCCAGACAGAAATAACACATGGATCGTGGGCAGCAAGGGACAGGGGGCTGGGGGTGTGTCTGTCGCTTAAACACAGCCAAACTACATTGGATGCCTCCCCAAAAGGCAATACTGCACCACATTTAGCAGTCTCCTGAGGAGCACTGCTTGGTCTGGCCAATGTTAGGCAAAAATTGTGACAATTCCTTCTTGCCATATAACGAGTGAGCTGGCAGACTGAGGCTGAAGGTCCTTGTGCATACAGCCAGGCTGCTCCTGCTGCCCTCTGGATGTGGCTGGTGGATCAGTAGTGTGGCACCTGTGTCCTTGTGTCAGTGTTGGATGTGCTGGCCAGCCCTCCTCTGGCTCTGCCCAGCTCTGCCCCCAGCAACTTACTGGCATCTTGCTCCTTGTCCTTGCTGCTGTCACGCAGCACAGATACAAGGCATTTTCCCAGGTAGTTAACAGGGAGAGAATCCTGCCTGGAGCAGTAAGAAAGCTTGAGACATTTAGGAAACAGACCTGTTGGGAAAGGTTAAAGGAATTTGCCGTGCTTAGTCTGGAAAAGAGGTGGGTGGGGAGATGGAGAGGAAGGAACAGAACAGTATTTCTGATGCCTCAAAGCTGTCTGTGAAAGGGCACTGATCAGTTGTGCTGGTGGTCCATGGTGGCATTGATCTAATTCCTCATCAAAAAGAAAAAGCTTTAAAGTCAATATTCTTTTATCATAGATGTCGTAATATTTTGCTTTATAAAATTTATATCATTAAACTCTATAGCTTGTAATAATTTTGGAGATAATGGAGCAAACCCCACGAGCAGGTGGCATGCTACCTTAGTGTGTCACAGGGCTTTTGCTGGCACCTAAATCCTGTCCAGCCACCCTCTAGGCTCTTCTGGCCTCCACCATCACTGCAGCTCAGCCACACCTAAGGGCTTCACTAATATACTTTAACAACTCTTTTCATGGGATTCTTTAATGGGAATCCAGATTTATTCATTTAGGGAAAGAAAGGCAAGTCAGCTCCTTCAATACCACGTGGGCTTTTTTTGAGCTGGCCACTTTCCACACGCACCCTGTAAATTTCTGTATGTTCCTCTCCCTTCTGCCTCTTCCGTGTCTTCACTTTTCTTCTTATTGTAGCAAGGGGTTGATATCTCAGAGCCAGAAGGTCCCTTGTCTTCAGTGTCAGCAGTTCCCTCCTGCTCTTGGTGGCCACTCATGGTACCTGTCAGGCTTATCCCTTTCCTCTTGAGAGACCCACACACTGGAAACATTCAAGGTCAGGTTGGACAGGGCTCTGAACAACCTGCTCTAGTTGAAGATGTCCCTGCCCATTGCAGGGAGATTGGACTAGATGGCCTTGAAATGTCCCTTCCAACCCAAACCATTTGATAATTCTATGGTCTGTACATGCAGGACATTTCTTCTCCCTGGGCAGACAGGCCCAGCAGGTTTTTGGAAGGTGGCCTGGCTGTGCTACAGGGTACAGACGTGTCCCACTGCAGCCCAGCCTGCTGAGGAATGGAGGGCAGAGAGTACATGGGTGCTTCTCCAGGGTGAGCAGGAGCTTCCCCATGCTGCTTTTCCTTCTCCCGGGTGCTGCTGCTAACATTCCTGTTGTGCTTTTGGTTTAGATTACATCAACGCACACAACTTCCACCGGCCTGCCGGGGCAGGGCACGTGGGAAAGAAAGAGAACGGGCTGGTGGGTGGCTCTGCCACTGTCACCGGAGCAGCCGGGGCTTCCGCCACCAGGGCTTCTGACTCGGAGCTCATCCGCTTTTGCTACCTGCACATGCGAGAGCAGAGGAAGGAAAGAGAGAGCGGCACGGATATCAATGAAAACCTGATTTTTTTTGAGGAAACTCGTCCCAGGACCAAATCTGACCCCACTTCCAAAAGCTCTGGCCAAGGCTACAACGGGGCGGCCAACGAGTACGACCTGGATGGCCTTGACCAAGACAGGCACGCGAGCAGGGCCAGGGCACACACCATAGACACCCACCTGCGGAGCGACGCCTCGCACTTCTACTGCGAGTCCTGCCAAGCCAAAATCAAGAGCCGGCTGGCCTCATGCATGGGGGGCAAGCCTGGCACCACCCGGGACAACATGGTGGACTTGATGTCGCTTCCCCCTCCCGGGAACGATGAGGAAGAAGACGAGACAACGTCCCTGCTCCCCGCCATCGCCGCCCCTCCTCCTGGCTTCCGAGACAACAGCTCCGACGAGGATGACCCCAAGCGCCGGGCGGCAGCTGCCCAGAGCCAGGAGCAGGGCCGGCACCTCTGTGGCATCCTCTACGACGAGATCCCTGTCACGCTGATAGACAGTGTGCAACCACGGACAGTCCGGGACCACGCCCAAGAGCTGGATGATGCCCTGGTGTCCACCCTGCAGGCACTGGAAGCCCTGGCTGCTTCAGAGGATTGCCCACATCCCCCACCACAGCAGACAGCAGGTATTTCAGTGGCTGTGACTCCCTTTTTTCCCTATAGCCTTTCTTTCCTATTGTACGTCCTTCCCTTTAGTCTTCTTCTCCCATCCTATAAGTGACTGTGGAGCAGCTTCTAGTAAAAACTAAGTTGTGGCAACAGGCTCTAGCAGGAGCAGCCAAGCTGCTGCTCAGAAGATTTCTAAGAAGCTGAGGTGGGACTCCTCTCCCTGGCAGTGGCTGAAGGAGTCTCTTGGTTATCCCATATCTGCCGTGGTCCACATGCCACAGTGCTGGGGTGAGTCACTAACAAACCAGTACTGTGAGCACGAGTTCCTCCCCACAGTGACCCCACTCAGCTGGTACCTTTGGCCATCAGTCTTTGCAGGTTCCCACGGGTTTTGCAGGGTGTGAGCCCTCCACAGGGCAAACCTGCTGTCAGATGGGTGACTCTGGGACCAGCCTGCTGGCATCACAGTCCTTTGTCCCTCTCCCTGCCTTGGTTGCCCTATTTACTATGGCAGAGTAGCTGTTGCCCGATTTTCCTTCTGGTACCAGACAAGCCCCTGTAGGGTGGTCTAGCATTTCCACTAACAGTGGAAAACTTCCCAGGACCTTTTCCTGGGCCAGGAGCTCTTGCTGAATTTATCTAGCAAGACAGCTCAGTGCTGAAAAGTGATCTCACTTAAAAGAATTAACTCTTACTAGTGAAAAGTCACGGAAGTTTTTCTGATGGGATGATGTGTCCTGCATTCCTGGGACCCTCCTACTGCCTGGAGTTCCCCTCTCCTCCACACAGGGGTGGTGTGAGGTTTGTTGTGGGGTTTTCTTTGTGTCCCTCCTCAGGTCTCATTGTCCTGGCTGCCATCACTCCCGAGTCCTCCTTGGACTCTGGCCATGAGACGAACTCCTCAGAGCTCACCGATGTCTCAGAGATGGTCTCTGCTATGAAGCAGCATCAGAACGCAGCCTACTTCCTCACACAACACATCAACAAAGAAAACCTCCTGGCCAGGAAGGACTTGCCTTTCCGAATCCAGAGCTGTGCTGCCCAGGCTGTTCTCACCTCACCCTACCCCCTGAGCCGCCAGGAGCCAAACCCTTCAGTGAAGCCAGCTTCCTCTCCCCAAAGTCCTGGCCTTACCAGCTGCAACAGCAAACAGGAGCAGCAACATGCTGAGCAGAGCTACACCTCAGCTCTCCAGCCAGGGCTGACCCCCCAGCTCAATGAGCAGAACAAGGGCGCTCCAGTGCCAAGCACTGAAAGCAAAGGTGCAGGCCACACAAAAGCTGCCTTTGAGGTATGTCTGCATCCCACAGCAGCCCTGAGCAGGGAGCAGTCACAGGATCTACAAGAGAAGGTGCCCAAAGAGGTGCAGCCAAGCTCCAAGCTCCTCCTGGATCAAAAAAGCTGTGTAACTCCAGCCATCATTTCAGCTGCTCTGCAGCAAGTGGCAAATGCAAAAGCCTCAGCTCCCCAAGTGGTGTCAGCCTTAAAAGAGGACCAGAATGTGAATGGTGCCAGCAGCTGTGCATTAGCCAGCAGCAAGCCTTTGACACTTAAAGGAGGTCCACAAACTGCAGAGACATTATGCAACTGTCAGCAGCAGCAGCAGCAGCAACTCTCTCAGCAGCAGCACTGTGAAGTCTCTCCAAGTCCTAAAGAAGCTCATGGCAGTCAGGCTGAAGCTTTCCACCTCACCTCAGCAGGTGAGGAAATGACGTCCAGTAAGACTTTTGCCTCTAAAAGCTACCAGCAAAAAGTGAGTAAAGATGTTCCAGGAAAAGCTGCAAGCGGAGAGACAGGGCAGAAGGCAGGTGGGGAACCCACGAGCCTCGTCTTGCAGAAACACACAGCTCCTTCAAACCCAGGACAGAAAGTGCAACAGGAAAGTTCAGCCAAAATCTTAAAAGCTGAGAGCAGCAAAGTGCACTCTCCGTCACCTGCTGGCATTTTCAGGAGCACCAGTGAGGAAGCCAAAGGGCCAATCCAGCTGATGCCCAGATCTGAGAGCCTGCAGATCAGCACTGTGCCTTCTAAAAAAGTAGAAAAAGTACTGGAGGTGACCCAACAAGATGCTGACGTCCCAGCTAAACCCAAAGCCCCAAAAGCTCCCTTCAGGTTCAGGAAGCTGTTCTCTGCAACGTTTCCGACCCGGCTGAAGAAGGAGACAGACGAGCGGCAGGCCCAGCTGCAGAAGGTGAAGCAGTACGAGCTGGAATTCCTTGAAGAGCTGCTCAAGCCAAAGAGCAAAGGTGACCTCCCACCACAGGAGTATCTGCACCCACCTGCCCCTGGGCGCTGCAGCTGCCAGCTAAGGAGCAGTCCTGTGCAAAAAGTCCCGGGGATGTCCAGGGAGCAAAGGCGCAGCTGTGACTGCAAGAGGATTTGCAGGGGAATGAGGCCACCCCCAAATCAGTTGGTGATATCCGAACTGGAGAGGAGAGGGAGGGATAAAGTTGCAGATGACCAGAAGCAAGTAGAAGCCATTAGGCTGACAAGCATGAGCAGCCCTTCCAAAGGCAAACGGATACGATCCACAAGTTTGGAGTCCAGAGACTACCGGTCAGATCCAGAGAACGGCGTGTCCTGTCTGGCAACGTGCACTTCCCCAGGGGAGTGCATGGGAGCCCCGCACTACAGAAAGCTCTTGCGTCGCTACAGTGTCAGTGAAATAGATAAGACTGATAGGACGTCCTTGTCCTCTGACATCTACCAGAACATCTATACGACCAAGCAGAAAGGTCCCCAGAAAGAGCCTGAGCCCAGCATCATCTGTCCTGTTCTGAAGAGCAAAATCCTGGAAGCCTCTGGAGTGGCTGACCCCTCCTATGTGCAGATAGCACAGGATAAAAAGAACCAGAAGGCTTCAGGAGTCTTCTCTGTCCAGGAGGAGATGTACCCAAGTCCTGCTGAGCTGCGGGATGAAGACACAGAGGATGAGAAGTGCTGCTCCATCCGGTACTGCTTCTACTACAGGAAATGTGATGTTGCAGATGATGGGAGTGAAAAGGATGAGCTGTCCTATTCCATCCCCATGCAGATACTCCCAGGAATGAAACTGGACAATCAGATGGTCCCAGTCATGAGCAGGACTCTCCAGGTCCTAGATGCAACAGCCTGCAGCAGTCCCAATGACAGTCAGACCCAGGAAATAGATTTAAGGACCTCCAGTTTCGAGGGGAGCTTGGCAAAGATCAACACCCTTCGAGGCCACGCCTACAGCTTTCCCAACGGGTTTCTGCAAGTGCAGCTGGACACCAATGAGCTCCTGACTATCCTGAGGCAGTGTGTGCTGAGCCCTGATGTCCGGGACTGCAAACCCTACATCTCCCAGCTGGCTGAGTACAAGCAAGAGCTCGCCCTCAAGTTCAAGGAGTTTCGGGCGTCCTGCCGCCGCGTCGCAGCCGTGGACAAGAGCCCTTCCCACATGCTCTCTGCCATCACGAGCAGCTTCCAGGTGCTAAGCAGCCTCATCGAGACCTTTGTGAGGCTGGTGTACGTCGTGCGCTCGGAGTCCCAGCGCCAAGAGCTGCTGACGAAGGTGGAGGAAGTGGTGAGAAACTACACCTTCCTCCTGAAGGCTGCGGAGGAGTCCACGGCCAGGATGCTGAGCCACCAGCAGACCGTGGAGCAGCTCGCCCGCCAGTCAGCCACGGTTGCCACTGTCATGAGCACGCTGACACGCTCCCTAAAGACACTGATCAATAAGTAAGCCAGCTGTGAAGACCAACAAGCCAGTGTGTGCCAGGCCATGTGCTGACAGTTCTCCAGTCTCACGGGTCTGGTGAGGATGCGTGTCTGCAGCCCCACATCCACCGGAGTTCGCAGTAGCCAAGACACTCTTTGATCTCCGCAGGATGGATGGTGGTGTTGGTGGTGGTTTTGAAGGGTGAATTCGTGCCCTGTCACAAGCTGTGCCAACCAGCTCATTGGGGGCTCAAGCAGCTTCTTTGCTTGTTCTCCCACACTGGCCTCGTCGGTGACGGTACTTGGGAGGCACAGCTGCCCCATCTCCACACTAATTTGGTTCTGTGGGGTTCTGGGCCTCACTGGTGCAAGGACCTTTGTCACAGTTTGTGGTGGGCCAGTGAGTTACCAGGAGCTGAGCTGAAATCTCCTGGCTTCACTTGGGCAGCGTGGAGCCAAACCAGTGTCTTGCCACGTAAACAGCTCTTCTGCCTCCAGGATCTTCCTGGCCCACAAATACGACGTCATTAGCAGCAGAAGGGATCTACAGGGATACAGCAGGGGTGAAAGTCCCTGCTGCTATGCTAGGGCTTGGGAAGTAGTCCCAGCACGGGCAGGATGCCATGATCCTGAGACAGAGCTAGGTCACCCTACTAGGCTCTACTGTCACAGCTTAGGCACCAGTGCTCTAGTCCCAAGCACAGGTACTGCCTGTGCAAAAGGCATGGGCTTAATGCCTGCAAGTAGGGAGGATCCAGGGAACTACAGGTCTGTCAGTCTGACCTCGGTGCTGAGAAGGTCATGCAGCAGATCGTTCTGAGTGCTACCACATGGCATGTACAGGACAACAAGGGGATCAGGCCCAGCCAGTGTGGGTTTGTGAAAGGCAAGTGCTGCTTGACCAGCCTGGTCTCCTTTTATGACAGGGAAGCTCAGTTAGTGGGTGAAGGAGAGGCTGTGGGTGTTGTGTACCTAGACTTTAGTAAAGCCTTTGACACTGTGTCCCACAGGATTCTCCTGGAGAAACTGGCTGGATGGCCGGGCCAAGGGAGTGGTGGGGAATGGAGTTAAATCCACTTGGGGTTGGTCACTAGTGCTGTCCCAGGGTTCAGTGTTGGGGCCAGTCCTGTTTAACACCTTTATCAATGATCTGGATGAGGGGATTGAGGGCACCCTCAGTCAGTTTGCGGATGACACCAGGTTGGGCAGGAGTGTTGATCTGCTGGAGGGCAGGAATGCTCTGCAGAGGGGTCTGGACAGGCTGGATCCATGGGCTGAGGCCAGCTGGATGAGGTTCAACCAGGCCAAGTGTCAGGTCCTGCCCTTGGGTCACAACAACCCCCTGCAGCTCCAGGCTGGGGCAGAGTGGCTGGAAAGTGCCCGTGGGGAAAGGAGCTGGGGGTGCTGGTGCACAGCACCTGAACATGAGCCAGGGTGTGCCCAGGGGGGCAAGGAGGCCAAGGGCACCTGGCCTGTGCCAGCAACAGTGTGGCAGCAGGACCAGGGCAGTGACTGTCCCCTGTGCTGGGCACTGGGGAGGCCTCTCGAATCCTGGGGTCAGTTTTGGGCCCCTCAGAGCAAGAAGGACATTGAGGGGTGGAGCGTGTCCAGAGAAGGAAACGGAGCTGGGGAAGAGACTGGAGCAGAAGTGTGATGAGGAGCAGCTGAGAGAGCTGGGAGTGTTTAGCCTGGAGAAAAGGAGGTTCAAGGGGGACCTTCTACAACTCCCTGGTTGTAATCAGGTGGGGGTCGAGCTCTGCTCCCAGGCAGCAAGTGACAGGACAAGAGGAAACGACCTCAACTTGTGCCATGGGAGGTTTAGATTGGATACTAGGAAAAATTTCTTCACTGAAAGGGTGGTCAGGGTTTGGGACAGGCTGCCCAGGGAAGTAGTGGAATCACCATCTGTGGAGGTATTTAAAAGATGTGTAGTTGTGGCCCTTGGGTACATGGTTTAGTGGTGGCCTTGGCAGTGCTGGGGGAGCAGTTGGACTCAATGATCTTAGAGATCTTTTCCAACCTAAACAATTCTATGTTCCCCTTCCTCTTCTGGATGGCTGTATCCATGCTAAGAGACCCTGCAAGGAATCCAGACTGATCTTTGACCATTGCAAGCCAGAAGCTGGGCTAGCAGCTGAGAGGAAACCTCTTTCACACCATTCTCTAGAGGTCAGGTTCTTGCCTCCAAGGCTCTGCCCGAAGCCTCTCCTATTTCCTTTCACCGTGACCATTAGAGAGGAACCCTAGATCAGCTTTGTCTGGGAGCCAGACAGGGGCTGTCCTCCTTGCCAGGGTGTTGGGGTTCTTTTGCTGTCTTCACCAGGCTGACTGCCATAAGAAGCATTATTTAGTACTGTGTGATGGTTATTTGTTTGAAGTTGGGGTTTTTCGATTGGGTTTGGGTTTGTTTTTTTTTTTTTTCACTTGCAGGTGAATGGTAAAATGATTCCTAATTGCATTCCTTCCCACCCCAAGGTTCCCCTCCTCCTCCTCCTCCCAGTCTAGCTACTAGATATAATCAATCAGACAGCCTTAATTGGTGTTTCGCTGCAGTCACCTCCAAAACAGAGCAAGGAGAAAAATGCAAGGTTACACATTGCATTGCCCTTACCCTGCCACCCACTGCACTTCCCGCGTGCACGGGGAGCGCGGGTCCCGCGTCTCCCCATCCCACCCCCTCCGGCTGGACAGGGAGGTCACGGCATTGCTCAAACCCAGCCCGCTTGCCCCAGTGCTTGGGGAACGATCAGGGATCCCCGTAGGATCAGTCACTTCCCACCTCTGTCGTTTTTTTACAAATATGCACATTCGGAACGTCTCGTTCTTCCGCAGGAGCTGTGGGAATGCACAATGTGCTTTTAACACACGCGTCCTCGGCCCAGTGCAATAACCTCCCCTGGCCCGTGGCTGTCCTGGCCTTGGGCTGTCAGCAAGGCAGAGAGGATCCTGCTGTGGGACAGCCTCCTGATTTCAAGAACCATGTAGCAAATATCCAGTGGAAGAGCCAACTGGGACGTCAGCCCGTGGTGTGCCAGGCCTGTTACAGTGCTGAAGGCTGACAGGGAGACGTGTTTTCCTTTTCCCTGGGAATAACCTATCATGAAACTCTGAGTTTCTTCAAGCTCCCCGTTATGCCTATATCATTCCTCCATAAATCTCTCAGTCTAATACAGAGGAAAATTTTTTTATCGTCTGTATATATTATATATAAATTAAAAAAATATATAAATTATATCTATACACAAAATTTATGTCTTGTTTTACAAACAAGAAAGATTAAATATATTAATCTTAATATCCAAACTAGCATTTGTGTCTTTTTTTAAGAACTTCTGTGGAAATGTGGCTGTTCTCAGCTGTACAAAACAGTGTTTGTAAGCAAATCCACCTGTTTTTGTTGCTATAGAAATGCAGGTATCTCCATACTGGAAGGGCACAGCTTAAAGATTCCAACATCTCTGGGCTCCACAGCAAAGTTACCATATCAAGGATGCAGGCTGAAACTAACTGTTTGACTTGCCAAGGTCACTTTTGTGTTGTTAATTTTAGTTTAATTTCCCTCCAGAAGAGGAAGGCAGCAGCAATCACCCCTTCAGCGCTGGCACTGGGCACTGTGGCTTTGCTGGGGAAAGTGTGGGACACCCTCCTGCCCCCTAAGGAGGGGAGAAAAGGATGCTTTAATGAACTCCTGATCCCTTCCAGGTGAGCCAAGCTGAGCACCCACTGACCAGCTCCAACCCATGTTTTTAGCCAAGTCCCAGCCTTTCCCTGGCTCTTCTGCCTGGGAAGAGGTGACAGTGTGTGACCTGTCAGTGGCCTGGTGGCTCTGCTGCCCCGTGGGACTGCTCAGGTGTGTCTGCAGGTGTGTTTGCCCAGCAAAAGCAGAGCTGGGGAGAAATCTGAGCCGGGCAAACAATTTCCCAGCCACAGATGATTTCCAGCATACACATTTCACCTGGCACAATGAACCCCGCTCTGTTTATCAGGGAGGAAAGCACTAATGTGTGTGCTCTATGCGCCCCAAAGCCCCCAGGAACTATAAAATCCAAGTGCAATAAGGATCCAACACAAAAAAAAACCCTTAGAGGAACTGGGTCATTCTCTGTACGGGGGTTGAATGTGTTGTCTAAAGCAAAGGCGGCAGCACTTGAGAGTCACACACGCTCTCGGTGCCTCCAGGCCTGTTATTTTAATCTGCATCACACCATTTCCCATGCTGAACTGACAATGACACTGAAAGGGACAGAACCCACCTATTTATAAAGCTGGATATGGATCGAAACCAAGAGGTTTTCTAACAACCCCCCCAGAACCTGAAAATATTATTGACAGCAGGCAGTTTAATCAGCGATCTCAGAGTCGGTGCTTAGTACCATCTAGTGGGCAATAAGCACCCTGTCAGAAAGGAATGGCTTCTTCACAGCACCCTCTTGTTTGTACCAAGATATTGTTTGTGGCATTAGGTGCTCCAGGATCAGCCAAACGTCCCTTTGTGAATGGAGGAGCTGGACTGGTACATACCCAGAAAGGATGATGTTGCTGTACTCGTTTCTTAGGTATAGCCCCTGCAGCCTCAGCATTCGTAAGTACTCTTAAAGGAAATGGTCCAGATAAAACACAGACAATTAAAAGTAATTTTTTTTCCCCAAATCTACCTCCCATCTAGTTTATCTACCTGCAGACTGGCCAGTTCTCATCCAGCTCTTCACTTGGAAGCCACTGTGGCCCAGGAAGTCAAAGCAAGGAAAACGACAGTGTTGTTTGCAGGGATGTGTGCAGAAAGATGAATGAATTTTTCTGCATTCCCTCCCACCAGAACAATCTTCCTGAGCATGGCAGGTTGTGTTTGCTGCCCTTTAGCACCTTCTCAGAGCCTGCCCTTCTCATACTGCCTTGGCCCTGAGTTTCCTGCTGTAGCCTTACAGCTGATGCAGATTTCCTTCAGAACCTTCACAGCTCCCAGGAGCACTGCTCAGCCACAGGATGTATTCCTGGCCATCTGATGTCACTGCACCCCCATAGCCTGCTCCCTCCCCTAACCTCCAAATTATGTCTGCTCTCAAGGAGTCCTCACCAAGGCTCTACCAGTGACAATGAACAGAAAAGGAACAAAAACTGGGCCACTGCAGGTCCCCCTAAAACTCAGGAGAAAAGCAGAAAACCTTCTGGTGTGCTAGTTTTGGCTGGAGTAGAGTTAATTTTTTTCACAGTAGCTGGTATGGGTCCGTGTTTGGATTTGTGTTGATAACACAGGGATGTTTTAGTTATCACTGAGCAGGGCTTATACAGAGCCAGAGCCTTCTCTGCTCCTCACCCCACCCCACCAGCGAGGAGGTTGGGGGGCCACAAGGAATTGGGGGGGACACAACCAGGACAGCTGATCCCAACTGATCCAAGAACATACAGTGTCATGTTCAGCATACATAGCTGGGGGAGAAGGAGGAAGAGGGGGATGTTTGGAGTGATGGCATTTTGTCTTCCCAAGGCTCCACCATATGTAATGATGACTTATTTGCCAGCTGAGGTTAAACCACAACACCTGGCTGTCAGGGGTTAAAGTGTCAAAAGCAGAAGCTGGAAAATCAGCAGGCCTCAAGCAGGAGTCCCAAGATAGGTTTTGTGTCTCGGTGGACTTTGCTGGTCATTGTCAGCTGGAGACAACAACAGGGCACCATGGTTTAAAGCACTTTGAACTCTAATCCCCATGGCGTAGCAGACACATTCTCCTGTCAGGATTTCCATCCTCTCCAAGGTCTTGGCAACACTACACAGGACTTGCAGGAGCCCCAGATACAACAGCAGAGCAAGCTGAATAGCTGGGACCCACTGCTGCTTTCATCATGACCAAGGGAGCCGACAGTCAAATAGAAGTGAGTAATGTCTAAATTTTATCCTCATTTAAAGCACAGTGTCTGGATTTCTGTGTAAAATATCCTAACAAATTCCTCACATAGGCAGTCACAGTGGAGCTGGCCAGGACACCCATGGCTTTAATTGGACATGGGAGAAGTCTGCCAGGGAGGACAAGTATCTCAGCCTGTTTACATCACCCAGCCATATCTGGTATACATGAAGACAGTCCATACACTTGTTATGGAACTTTTCTGAAGGTTTTTTTGTCAGGCAGGGCATGAGCAGATGCCTCGTCCCACTGCAGCTGCTGCACAACCTCCCAGCCCAGCTGAGATGGTGCCCCTTGCTGTCACTTGCCCCC